TTTAATATTTTATTTATTAATTAGAAATAAAACTTTTATATATTTCTTAATAAATTTAGCTAACTTTTTATTAAAACCATTTATAATATAAAATAAAGAAAAAGGTTATAGTTTTATTTCTAAGATTTACTTTATAAGCTAAATAAGCTTTATATTAATAAAAATATAACTATTTACTCTAGTATTAATAAAAGAAAAAAACTTGATTTCTAATTTATTTATTTTAATAATATAGAATATTATAAGAGTGTTTTCTTTTATTAGATAAGTTAAGTTAATCTTTATTAAATTAATATTATAAGCCTCTAAAGTAAAGACTTTTTTTAGGAATACTTACTTTCCGGTTCTATATTAAAATTAGAGTTTAAATTCTTTAAGTACTTTACTAGAATAAGAATTAAATACTTTACTAAAATAGAAACTAGGCCCGGCTTAATTCTATAGAAAGCTATTTTAGTTTCTTTACTATATTTAAGTAAATAATATTTAATATAGTAGCCGAACTTGTTATAATTAAAGTACTTAATAACTAAAAAATCTTTAGTTTTTATAAAATATTATTTATACTTTTAAGAAAATATATATTTAATAAAAGTAATAAATATAAGCTTCTTGAATTTCTTTTTAGAAGTATAAAAGAATATAATACTAGAAGTAAACTTAAATAAACTAGTTTTTGTTTTCTTATATTTTTTGTAGTTTTTTTATATATAGCTTTAATTTATTAATTATTAATAATATTAATAAAAAAGTAATTATAATATATATATACCGACTTCTAAAGCTTTAATAAAAGCTTTTTATTTAGTTTATATTTAATATTTTAAAAACTAATATTACCTTTTATAAATAATTATAAGAAAAGAATATAAAACTTCTGAAATATTTAACTAAAATATATTTAAAGCTTATTAAAGTTATAGCAAGTATTCTATATTTTATTAGAATTAGAATATAGCTTCTTTAAATAAAAATATAGTTTTATTAGCTAATTATTTTTTATTTATATAAGAATTAGTTAAAGCAAGAGTATTACTTATAAGTTTATTAAAAATATAAATATTAGTATAGCTATTTCTTCGGGAGTCATATATATAGTTACGGGACTCGGGATACGGGATATAAGTAATGAGATATGGGTAATAATATATAGGATACGGGATATAGTTATATAATCTTATATCCCATAAATGACTCGACCGGTAGCTAGTCTCTATTAGGCTTAGTAGATTTAGGAATCGCATATTAATATTATAATATTATAATTCTTACTTCTGGATATTAATAACTTTACTAACTTTATATAAATAATATTTTATAACTATATAATAGTACTATATATTACTAGTAAACCAATACTAATTAGTTTATATATATAGATTAGAGAAGATTTTAGATTAGTTCTAAAAGCATTTAGTAGCCTAAAACAAATCTAATTCATTCTATATTAAAGGAGAGAACTACTTATTAACTTTATAAAAGTATTCGGTAGCCTATAGAGAAAATACCTAGCTTTTACTAATTAATAAGCGGTTAGCCATTTAACTATCTGTTAATTTAACTTCTATTATTCTTTAAAACTAACTTCTTTTAGTCCTAAGACTACCTTCTTAGAAACTATCTTTTCTATTTATATAATAACCGAATTTACGGAACTCTCTCCGGAATATATACCCTATATATGCCCTTAAAGCTCTTTAATTATAACTTTGATTTTTCTATTAAATCGAGCCCTTCGAACTTTAGATTCTCCCGGAATTATAATATTTTACTTCCTAAATTTCTTATTACAAATAAAAATTTTAAAAACGAAATATTTATTTTAATATTTTAATACTTTTATTACTGAATCCTTTCTATAAACCTACTATAGACTACCTTACCTTTAAACCTCTCTTATTATAAACCATATATATATACTAGGGAAAAACTAAACTCGGTTTAGTATAAATACTAATAAGAGAAAGAAGCTAATTAAGAAATAGGAAAATAGTATTAATCTAGTAACTATAATAAAGGATAATCTTTAGGAATATCTAATTATTAAGATATATTAGTATATCTTATATAGAAAGAGTAATAATAATCTATAGGATCTATTTCAGAATAACTTTAAGAACTTTAATATTATAGTATTTAGTCAAATTAGCTATATACTATTATAAAGTCTTTAAACCTAACTTTAGTATAATAGTATCTATATTAAATAGAACTATAAGAGCCTTACTATTACGTAATTCCTTATTAACCTTATCTAAGAGAAAATAAAACATATATAGAATAAAGCTAATATTATTAATAATAATCTAATTAGATTAGATCTTTTTTAGGGACCTATTATATTAGTTTATCTTACTCTAGATAGAACTAGATATAAGGGAACTAGATATTCTTAGTTAAAAAATCAAGCTATTTATCTATTTCCTCTAAATTAAAGCTATTTACTACTTTTACTTTTACTACTACTATTATTACTATCGAGCCCGAAAATTCATTAGTTAATATCTATTATTATTACTAGAAAGTTTATTAGGGAAATAGTAAAGATATCTTCCGAAATATAGAAATATAACGGAACTAATAATAGTTTTAATTATAAACTTACTATTTTTCTTAATATCTACTAATATATAGAGCTTCTAGAAAAGGTACTAGTAAAAGCTTTTCCTACTATATTAAAGGAACTAGTATAAGACTACTTTTATAATAACTAACTCTCTTAATATATATATAAAGAGGCCTATATAAATATTCGTAATTTCTTTAAAGGCCCCGGTTTCTATTATCGAAATTTAGATAAATAAAATAGTATTACTTTAGTAACTATAATAACTAAATACCCTAAAAAGACAATATTTGAGCTTATTTAAATACTAATTAATAACCTATATTAACTATAATATAGCCTTACTCCTGCCTTATAAAATATTAAATTCATATATAATAAAATTATTATTTCCTATTAAGGCTTACTAGTATACTAATATATAGTTTTAGACCCTTCTAATAAACTCGGCTAGCTTATTAATAAGCTCTAATTATCTATTACTACTTATAAGAAAAAGTAATAAATTAATATTAAAACCTATTTTACTAATTAGTAATACTATTTTTAAAACCCTTTAAGCTACTATTTGTCCGGAAATTATTAATATAGAACTAACCGTAACTTCGGAACCCGTAATAACTACTTCAAGCCCTATAATTATAATAATTATATTCCGAAATTGTATTTTATATATAAGAGACCCGAATACTGCTTATAGAAACATATACTAGAGAAATAAGAGGCTAAAAAGGCTCGATTTAAGAATAAAAACATCTATTAATTTAGATTCCGAAACTCCCGTAACTTTAATAAATGCTTTAATAATACCTATATATAGTATATTACTGGAATTAAAGTAGAAGAGAATAATAAAAGTAATAAAAACAAACTAGAGAATAATACTTTTAAAGCTTTACTAGCGGAAACGGATAAAGGAAAGAAATATTATTCAGATTCCTATTTTACTTTAGTTAAGAGCTTCTTAGCCGCTTCTACTACTCTTATTCTTACTATTCCTATAACTAATACTCTTATAAATAATCTTACTTCTCTTTCCCTTATATATTAGATAATAGGCGAAAACTATACCTTAAAGCCTATTAAATAAATAGAAGACACTTAGATATTTATAATTAATAGTATATTAAGATATAATAGTTACTACTTTTACGAAATTATAATTAATACCGGAGCCTCTAGATTCTTAATTACTAGTTCTAACTAATTCCAAGCTTTATAGTAAACTAATAATAATATTAAACTTAATGAAACTATTAAAGGTCAAGTTAATATCCAGTTTAGTATTAGATCTATATTCTTTATTAGATCTATAATAATAAGAATACTAATTAGGCAAGTATAATTTTATATTATACCTATAAAGACTCTATTTCTATTTAGCTTAGCTAATATAAACAAGCTAGAGGTCTACTTTAATAATTTTACTAATTATCTCGTTATCTTTACTAGATATTATATATCTATAATATAATGTTTTAAATACTCTTTCTTGCTTTGGAATACTATATTATAAAGTTTTATTTCCGAATTCTTTACTTATAACTCCTGCTTTTTTACAGAAATCGAATTATAATATTTATATTACTATTTTAGTTATTTATCTATTAGTAAGCTCCGAAATATATTAGAATAAGCGGGCTATAATATTAATATAGAGGCCCTTAAATACCTTATAAAGTATTATAAGTAATACCAGAAATTCGGATAATTACCGGAATAATTCAAGTTTAACCTAAAAAATAATATTAGCTTTAACTATTTTATTATTATTAATATTTTCTATATTTCTAATAAGTCTATATTTCATATTATTAATAAAGGCACTCGATATTAAGTCGGCTAATGGCTTTAAAATATTAGTATATTATATATTTGAAATACCCTAAAGTAATATTAGATTAATACTTATTTAGGCCTTCCTGATTAGATTATAGCAGATACCGGAAAGCAGTTTACTAGTAAGAAGTTCGCTCAGCTTATAAATACTATAGGAACTAAGATTCAAATTATTTCTATAGAAGCTTATAATTCAGTCGGAATTATAGAATACTATTATAGCCCGATTTAATATACTTACCTTATTATTATAGCTGAAATTAATAGAATTAATAAGAATACTATATTTCGAATAGCTTTTAAGGCTATTAATAATTTTGCAGAACTTAATAGTATTATTCTAATTCTTTTAGTTTATAGTACTTTATTCCGAATAATCGAATATAATACTCTATTATCTATTATATTATAGTAATTAGTAGTACTTAAGAAGGCAATAGTAGAAATTTAAAAGCTTTATACTAGATATCAAATTACAAATATCCTAAATATCCGAAATAGTTCTAGTATTACTAATATTTATGAATTTCTCCTGAATTCGGATATTCTTATATAATATAAAGGAAATACTAGTTAATCTAGTAATTAGGATAAGCTATATAAGCTTATAGTAATAGACGGGAAGTTTTATATACTAGCTTTACTATATAGTAATACTATCTTTCGTTTAATCTTTATAAAGCCCTTTTATATAGGGGATATTAAGGTTATTACTAATAACCCCGAATCTAAACCTATTCCCGAATTTTATAATAAAGCCGAAAATAATATAAGTATAATTTCTCTTGCTATTTCTGCTATTTCACTAAAGTATAGCAAAAAACGCCCTTATAAGAACCCGGATATTATAATATTCCTATAAGATAATAACTTATATAAGAATTCCTATCAAGTTAAAATTACTAGCCTTCTAGAAAAGAATATTTTTAAAATTATTTCCAGATCTCAAATACTAAAGGAAATATATATTTTTAACTCCCGGTTTATTAATAAGATTAAGAATAAGAATATAAAAAAAGAGTTTAAGAAATCGAGACTAGTTATCTAAGCTTATAATAATAGTAAGAAATATATAGTATTAATATAATTGCCTACTATTTAATATATTAGCCAGATAATTATCCTTAGTATTATTACTATAATAATAGATACTATAAAATTATATTTATATAATATCTCGCAAGCTTATATCTAATTAATAATTTTACTTAACTATAATTTTTATATTAACTCACCTTATAAGCTTACTAGAAAGCCAAATCTAAAGAATAATTCTATTCTAAAGATTATAAAACTACTATATAGTATACCGGAAGCTAGAAACTACTAGTTTAAGACTTACTATTCCTATTATATTAAAGAGCTTTCTATAAAATAGTTAACTTATAACCCTTGCCTTCTTTATAGTAAGTAACTCTTTGGAATTATTAGCCTTTAAATTAATAATACCTTATTTATTAGAACTAATAATTTTATAAAGGCAGAATAACTAAAGCTCTAAGAAACTAAGTTCTTGGCTAAGGAATATAGATGCCTTACTTTTAACTATAATCTCAAATTTAATAGAGGTATTATCTATATAAATACTACTGGAATTACTCTTATAAAGAAATATTAGTATAAAAACCTCTAAACCATTTCTATAAAGAATACTATTACTATAAATAATAAGGGTACTATTTATTAAGATCTTTTTATTAAGGACTAATATATTACCTAATATACTAGAGAAGTATATATTATATTAGTCTATTAACTAGAAGCTTTATATAACCTATTAATTATTACTTAAGCTATTAAACTATTAGAAACTAATATTAAGGTATTTAATAAGTGCATTTAATAGTAAATTAAGAATACTACTAGAGGACTGAGATTTATAAAACTAGTAAAAGAGTTCTTATATTTAATTACTCTTATAGATACTTTGTTTATAAATAATTGAAATCTCTTTTCCTAAATCAGATATATTCTAGTTCTAGTAAATAGAATCAGATATACTAATATTATCTACTAGTTCTCTACTAAATATAAGAAAGTTACTAGAAGTATTCTAGCTTCGAAACTATATAGTATGGCTTATGGTTTTAATATAAGTGCTTTAGTTAAATCTATAATTAATAGAATACTAGAAATGGAACTATTACTAGTTATCTATACGGATTCGAAATTATTATATAAATATCTTATTAAATTGGGTACTATTTGAAAGAAATACCTAATAATTAATATAATATATTTTTACTAGATATATAAATAATAAGAGATTATAGAAATCAAATGAATTAAAAGAGAATTAAATCCTGCTAACTCTATAACGAAATTAAAGCTATTAAATACCCTCAAATACCTAATTAATATAAATATAATTTAATTAGATATAGAGAAATAAATCGAATATAAATAGGGCAGGAAATATATATATATAAGATAGGAATATGAGATAGAAAATATATATAGATATACGGAAGGTTTATAGGAAATCTGGTACTAGGCCAGATTAGGAAATTAGTATATAATTAGAGGGAAATACTATTTTTCGCCTTTTTAGAAAGGTTCTAGTATTAGTATAGCTATTCCTTCGGGAGTCACGTGCATAGTCACGGGACTCGGAATACGGGATATGGGTAATGGGATATGGGTAATAAAATATGAGATATGGGATATAGTTATATAACCTCGTATCCTATAAATAACTCGACTAGTAGCTAGTTCCTATTAGGCTTAGTAAATTTAGGGATTACATATTAATATTATAATACTATAATTCTTATTTCTAGATATTAATAACTTTACTAACTTTATATAAACGGCATTCTATAACTATATAATAGTACTCTATATTACTAGTAAATCAATAATAAATAATCTTGAGATTTTTTAAGAAATATAAATTAGTATTTCCTTATAACTTATTCTTAATCTAAACTAGCTAATTATTAAAGATAATATAATTTCTAGTAAAAAGAATTAAATTTAAGAGCTTAATAACTTTAATATTTCTAAAGTAAATATAAGATATAAGGAATTCTAAATAAAAATAAGAATAAAATAGTTCGAGAGATTTTAAAGAAAAGTTCGAAAAAGTAAAGATAATAGAAATAATAAAAGCAAATAAAGTAAAGGTAATTAAAGTTATTATAAATTAATTTATTATAATTATATAATATTTAGTATTCTTTTCGAGTTTAGTATTATAAAGCTTAATATTATTAAAAATGCCCTTATTATTATAATAGGCATTTTTATATATAAGAGTCTTTTAAATATTTTTCTAATAGCTAGTTATAATAATATTAATATTCTCAAATAAGAGAATAGGCTTTCTGGCTCATTTATATAGTTCTTTAATAATAATAAGGTTCTCGATATATAAAAGCTTTATAATAAAAATAAAGAGCTTTATTTTTATAAATTTATTTACGAATTTTTTAGAAATATTAATATAGTATTAGTTTAGAAAAAGCCGCTAATAAAATAACCTGAATTAGTAAAAGCTTTAAAAGCCTTATTTAAAGCCTTAGTAGAAATTAATATAATTTCGGGTTATATATAATATTTTAGGAAATTAATTTTTTATATTTTTTCTTTATTATATTCTTTCTAATAATCTTATTACTAGTATATATATAAGGCTTATAAGATTATAAGATAAGGCTTAAGGATAATAATTAGATTACTGGCCTATAAATGCCTATTATTTTAGAATTTAATTTAAAAGTAGCCTTTATATAAGATTCTTCGATTTTCGGATTTTTAAAAGAACTTTTAATATATTACTAATATATATTTATAAAAATTTAAAGATTTAATTCTTTTAAGGGTTTTAAAGCTTTTTGCTTTTATTATTTTAGAGCCTATTATTTGTATTTCTGAGGTTCTATTATCTTAATAGTATTTATATTTCTAATAGTTCTAAATTAATTTATTTGAAATTCTTTATAAAATTAAGGAAAATAAGCTTTAAATACTATTATAAATATAGTATTTAGGGCTTAGAAAGTAGAGTAAAAGATTTCTTATAAAGATAATTTAAAACTAAAAAAGAAATAACTAAAATATATATTATTATATAACTAGAAAATAACCAGATATAAGTAATGAAATATAAGTAATAAAATATAAATAATAAAATATAAGTAATTATATTAGTTAATAAGATTAAAAGCTAAATTATAATACTATTAAATTTGCCTTTTATAATTATATAATATTTAAAAGAATCTTTTAATCTCTTCTTATTATTACAAGTAATATAAATTTAAAAAAATTCGGTTTTATAAATATATATTAAATTTGCTTTTAGATTTACTTTACTTTTCTCTAATTCCTTTAGCTTCTTGCTTTAGTATAGATTTATTTCTCTAACTTTAGTTTTATTATTAATTTGCTTTATTACTTTAGTAATATTATTAAGTAATATAAGAAAATTAGAATATTATTATAAAAAAAGAAAAAAAGAAGAAAAAGGTATATATAAGGCAAAGATTAAAGAATAAAGAGATTTATTAATTAAATATATTAATAAAAGAAGATATTATAAACTAAGTTTAAATTATTAGAGAATATATTATAAATATTATTTTTCTGCTTATTTATATTTTTATTACTTTTTTTACTATTTTTAATAAAAGAAAGCTTTAATAATAATATTATATATTAAAATTAAAGATATTTTTAAAAAGAGGTTAGGGTTTAGACTAAGATTAAAGCTAGTATAGCTATATTTTTATTATTTACTTTTAAGATATAAAAATATATATTTAATATAATTATTTAAACCCGAATAAATTTATAATAAATAATATCTGAAAATAAAAATATTAGTATTTAATAGCCTTAAATTAAATGTATTTAAATATTAAAAATATTTTTTTAAATATTATAATTATAAAAATAAAAATAAAAATATTCTTTATTTTATTAACTTATAAAAGCTAAGATATATTAATAATAATTAAACTATACTCGACTTATATAATTAGCTAATTTATTTTATTAATTATAAATATTTCGAAATAGCTTAAATTTTCTTAAATCTTTATATATAGCTTATTATATAAACTTTTATATCTTTATATTTAGTAATATTATAATTATAATTTTTAAATAAGAAAAATTCCCTTATTTTAGTATATATAATTATATTTATTTCTTATTTTTTTTAAATATATAATTATTAAATTAGAGAGACTTAAAAATTCTAAATAATACTTTTTTTTTAAAAAATATATATTTTTAATAAATAATAAAAGTAAATATAGAATTATAAAATAATATAATTATTTCGTATTAATACTTTTTTTTATAAAACTATAACTTTATTTTATCTTTACTTTAAAACCTTTATTTTTCTTTTATATTTTTTCGACTTTATTATTAATACTAAAAGCTTTTACTTTTTACTAATACTTTTTTTATTAATATCTTTATTAATACCTTTATTAATACCTTTATTAATACCTTTATTAATATTAAAAGCTAGTATCTAATTACTTTATAACCTTTCCTTTTTTGAATTTATTTTTCTTTAATTCCTTTATTAATAATATTAAAAGCTAGTATTTAATTATTATTTCCGAATTACTTTTATTTAGAACTCTTCTATTATAAGTCTTTAATTTACTTATTCTTTAAAAAGCTAAATTTTAGATTTCTTCTTTCTTTCTCTAATATCTCCTTCTTTTCTTTTCTAATACCTCTTATATCTTTGGGCCCTTTAAAAATATCTTTTTTTAAACTTTTAAAAAAGAGACTAACTTCTATTTAGATTCTTTTAAACTTTAGTACCTCTTTTTCTTTTTTAATATTTCCTATATCTTTAGGCCCTTTAAAAATACCCTTTTTTAAATTTCTAAAAAAGAGACTAACTTCTATTTAAATTTCTTTAAACTTTAATACCTCTTTTTCTTTTCTAATATTTCTTATATCTTTAGGCTTTTTAAAAATATTCTCTCTTAAATTTTTAAAAAAGAGGCTAACTTTTATTTAGATTTCTCTAAACTTTAATATCTTTTTCCCTTTTCTAATATCTCTTATATTTTCAAA